CAAATTCGTCGCGAGTTTTCAATCGAGATACATCCATCTTTCGATCGCTCGTCTCGATCGTTTTTCTTTTCTTTTGGAAAAAGACCGTCTCTCGCGCGGCATTCGCGTCGTCTCGCTTCGTTTTCACCGGATCAGCGTCTCGACGATTTTAACTTGCCGGCACGTAGGCGGAAGACGTCTCGCGCTCTCGGTCGGCAAGACCGAGCGTCGTTTCTTAAAAAATTACAGATCGTACTGTGGCACATTCCCGGCAAGATCGAGGAAGCAGAGCGGGTAGTCGCGTACACGGCTGCTCGAATCAAGCACAGAACGACGATAAAGAGTTCGACGGCGTGGATGCGAGAAGCAGTCGGCACGTCCGTCAGGATCGGACCGACGGCGATCTCCTCGCCGAAGAAGAGCCAGAAGGCAGCCGTGACTCGGATCGCGTGGATGTCGCCGTACGACCAACTCGATGCCAGCGGCAAGATCGCGTCGTTGCCGGAAGACGCGAGCGTCGACGATTTATCGGTAGAAATCGCGACTGCGAGCGAGGACGGTACGATCGCTTTCTGGAACTTGAAGTCGAACGAAAAGTTGGTATCTCCTTCGGAAGTAAGTTCTCGAGATCGGCGTTGTCGAGCCGTACGCGTCACGGGCCGTGCGGCGCGCAACGCGCGAAAGATGGGAAGCAAAATTTCCGGTCCGAGCGGAAAAGTTTCGTTCGCTTCGAGTCGGCGAAGCAGCGGAAAGTCAACGTCGTTTTTTTCGCGCGCAATCACGGGTTCGTATCGGCGATGCGAATTCGCCCGGGGGCGAAGTCGAAGACGACCAGAAATTTTGCCTCGCCGATGCCACAGTGCGCCGTGTCGAACGAGCGTCGCGCAATCGCCGGAGCTACCCGTGCGAAAAATTTAACGATCGATCGACGACAATCGACGCAAGAACTCGCGATAAAAAATTCGAATTCGAATCGGAAATATCATCGTTCGTTTCGAGACGGCAGACGTACGAGAAAGAAGCAAGCCCGAGAAAGAAAGGAGAAGCGAAAAGACCGGAAGCGTCGACGAGGCGGACGTCTCCGTTCAAAGCGTTGGACCGCGTTTTGAAGCCTGGTTTCGTTCTGGCGGTGCAACATCCGAACGAGAGTCGAAACGTCGTGATAACGACGATCGACGCGCACGTACCGACGTTTGAGAAAAGACGCGCAGACGTCGGTCCACCGTCGGAAGACGCAACCGTTCGGAGATACTTTGAGAATATCGTGAAAAAACCGAGTCGCGCGACGCGAGCGGAGATACACGTCGGTACGGTGGAAGGTAATCACACGCGACAATCGCGCAAATTTACGAAAATAGGTCGCGCGTGTTTCGGGACGGGACGTCGGGAATCGTTGGGAAAAGAAGGAAAGAGAAAAAGGAAGAGAGAGAATTTTTCAGTCCGAGTCGCGTGAAAATTTTTTTTCAATCGCGCCGACACTCGCGAAGAACGAGTTTAATCGCAACAATCGGCGTGGCTGCACAGGTGATTTCGGTTGCGCGACGTGGAACGGATACGACTTTGCGACGGATTTAGCCGTCAACAGCGAGACGTGTCGATGGCGTTGGTTCAAAAGCGGAACACACGACGGTCCGGTAACGCACTCGGTTCGATGCAGAGAGAACAGCACGTGGCTGGCGACGATAGGTGGGAAGATATTCGCCATTTGGAAGGAAGACGTCGGCGCACCGTTGTTTCGGAAGAAGTCGGACGTCGGGTATTTTTCAAACAAACATCCGCGAAAGTGACTCGACGCGACGACGATCGTGCGAAAGACACGTCCGCGTAGGTTGACCGGTGTCTCGTGGGGCAGTCTCCGTGCGACGACACTGATTCTCGCACGATCGGACGGCACGGTGGAATTGTGGGATTTCACGGTGAAGACGGAGGAACCGTGCGTCGTGCAGAGTGTGTCCGGTCGCGCGATCACGGGAGCGTACACCCACGAGTTACGCGCAACGACCCGTCAATGCGTAGGATTTTGCGATTTCAACGGTATCCTGAGAATGTTTCTCGCTCCGGCCGCTCTCCTCGAGACAGACTCGGCCGGTACAGAACGGATGACCAATTTCATGGAACGACAAGCAAAAAGGGTAACGGTTCGTCGAAAGTAAAAAGCGACGCGTCTCGACGATACCTCGACGTCGAGTTTGAAAAATTGCAAATCTCGATCCGAGATCCTCGGTCTGGAAGTTGCAATTTTACGCGCGCTGTTGCGTACAAACGATATCGGAATTGTTTCGGACGCGACGATCAAGTTTCCGTTTTTAGACGCGAGTCCGCGACGGCAGAGTCTCGTCGCTCGCGTCGCTGGTAGTCGAGAAGAAAGTTTCGACGTCTAGAAATTTGTCCGCGTACTCGAACGAACGAACGAACGATTCTCAGGTGAAAGAGGGCAGAGAGTGGCTAGAGAAACGGTTAGAAACGAACTACGAGGAGACGGAACGGAAACAACGACGGGAAGAAGAGGAAGCAAGCGTTTGGAGAAGGGCGAGAGCGGAGGAAAGCTCGGTAAAGAAAGACGGTTCGCAACGTTTCCGCGACGCTGTCCGCGAGAGAAAGAAACGGAAGAAGAAGGAAAAAAGGTTTTCTCTTTCTCTCGTAATTTTTGGACCGGTCGGGGAAACGGATCGAACGTGGAAACTATCGCTGGCTGGACAGCGATCGAATCGAGTGTAATTTACAGAAAAGACGGGAAGCGAGAGAGTCGAAGCGCGTGGAGCGAGTGGAGAAGAAAGGTTCGAAGAAGGACGACCCGGAGAAGCAGCGGGAAGCGACGGTAAGAAAGAAAGAAAGTTCGGTCGTAGTTGGAAGGCAAGTGGAATTGTTGGGATCGATGGTTAAGGGGATGCAAGGCAGAGTCGACCCGGACGAAGAAATAA